CTCCTACCTCAAAGTACGTCTGACGGTTAAAAATAGTTTGATGTTAGCAGCGCCGCAGAGTTTAAGTTTTTATTTGTGTTTGCAGAGACGGGGTCCTCAGCGTTCAGTGGATGTTATTGTTTCATCGGCCTTCCTCCTGACTTTGTCAGTGGTCTTCATATGCTGTGCCCAGGTAACGTCATTTATTAAACACTTAAATTTCCTTCACCGTAACCAAGCTGACGCTCGTTTCTTCTGTTCTCTGCAGCTTCTCCACGTCCACGAAACGTTCCTGGAGTTTCACTATAACTGGGAGCTGGTGATCTGGTGCTCCAGCCTGTCTCTGTTCCTGCTCAGGTTCGTCACTCTGGGCTCAGAGACCAGCAAGAAGTACAGCAACACCTCCATACTGCTCACCGAACAGGTCCACACAGAACACGGCATCAAAAACACCGAGCGCCGCCTCCAATCAGACACTTATTCTGTTGTTTCTTCTCACAGATCAACTTGTATCTGAAGATGGAGAAGAAGCCAAACAAGAAGGAGGAGCTGACGCTGGTCAACAACGTTTTAAAACTGGCTACCAAACTACTCAAGGTTTATATTTGTCTGCCTCACAACTCATCTGAAACTTGAGTTTATGGTCAGCTTGTCTAAAACCCTTGTTTTTTTTTTTTTTTCTTCTTCTCTTCAGGAGTTAGACACTCCGTTCAGGTTATATGGTTTGACTATGAATCCTCTGCTCTACAATATCACCCAGGTGGTCATCTTGTCTGCTGTATCAGGAGTCATATCTGACCTGCTGGGCTTTAATCTGAAGGTAATCCACTACAGGAATATTTAGCTACACATATTTGCCTTTGTAGAGAAACAAGTAGTTCATGAAAATTGTTGGAGGTGCTAAAGATATTAGCATTTTAATCATTTTAAAGGTTTATCTAAAAGCTCATCTGTGCACAAAGAATAAATAAAAGACTTTGACTTTTATTTCTTTATATCCCTTTTCCACGCCGCTCATACAAACAAAATGTAGAGAAACTGAGGTCTAATATCACAAATAAAAAGCTCAAAGGTGCTATAATCATGACAAGTTTTTATTATTTTGTACATAGCTGTTTAATTTAATATAAAAGTTAAGTCAGCCATGTTTACTTCATATATGTTTTATATTTATATACTTGCTTTTATGTTGAGTTAAAACTAGTTTGTTTGTTCACAGCTGTGGAAGATCAAATCATGACTGAAAAGCCCGTCAGTCTGGACACATCTGAGCGCTCCGACCTTCAACGTTTCCACTTTGTGCAATTCACAAACTATTTATTTACCCACTCAGTGTTTCTACTTAGGGTTTATTTTAATTCTAGGTATATTTGTGTTCTACGGCACAAAGAAAAAAAAAGCTATTTCTGCCTTCAACAAAAAGTGTTATGAACATAATTTCTGTCCTGGTTTTGGTGTTCCGTTGCGTTAGAGATTTTATTTTCTTCATTGTAACTAACTTGAAGGCAGTATATCACGAGACGCTGATGAGCCGACATTCATTTGACTTTTATTTGCTCAGAAAGGAAGTTAAGTCATTTTCAAAACCTCTTTTAAAGTTTGTCTAGCTGTGTTTTTTAGTCTGACGCTGAAGCTGTAAAATATTTAAACTTATTTTTTGGAGATGTTTTAAATTCACGTCCCTCAGATTATCTGTGTTCTCTACACGTAAAGACTTCAAAATGAACGTACCGGACGRCAGATGCCACTTTTCAGCAGGTTGGAGTGGAAAACGCTTCACCGTAGCTGAGATCTCTGCAACGACACAATCACCCAGTTAAACGYAGTTACAAACAGATTTAAGCTACACATCATCCCAGACTGACAATTGATCTCTGACGTCAGCTAAAATAAGACGGGTTTAATTACTTAAACTTAGCAGTATTTACCTCACGGATGTGGCTCAGGAGAACATTCATGTTTCTACTTTTTTATATGTTCACAWTGCAAGAAAAAAAACTTATTTTTGTTACTTTTCAAAGCGACTGTAGTTTGAACAGTCGTGTCATATTTTATCTGATTCTTACGTCACTGACGTAAGCAGATCAATAAGGATATTTATTGATTGCAGATTAAAGCTTAGAGAAAGAAATCAGATGCTGGTGGAAAAATTAGAATTGAACAGTGAGTTTTATTTTTACTTAAAATTAACTTTAGTACAAAGTTTGCTCCTTATGTTTGGACTAAACACATTTAAAATGATTATTTTAAGGATGCTTAAACATTAAAAACTGACAATATTGTATAATTTCTCTGGGTTGTATGAATTGAAACAGTGTCAACATTGCAATCCAACATCAACCCAGTTTCATTATTATTATTATTTAGTTCCAAACTCCTGGGCCTACAATCCTGAACACACAACTTTAAATTAAACACCATCCGTCACATTTTGAACAAAGATATGCACTTTAAAAGCAGACCTTATGTGGAGGACAAAGTTACATTGTGTTTGTGTTTTCATGATTCACATCACTCTGCAGTTCAATCCTACACGGTACGTGGAGAACTTTGCTCACAGGATAGCATGTTGCACAACGTGATTAAAATGCTGACAAACTGCCTCAGCAGCAGGCACATTTCAGACCAGCTTCAATAGAAAAACTGCGTCGTTGAATAATGTTACATCGATGTTAAAACAGAGTGTTGGAGGAGGAAGACCAAAGTGCTTATTTAAATGTTTTCGTCTCTGCTGGGAAAAGAATGTGTTTCTAGTCTCGCTTTAAAGTCCGTTTCTCTTCAGAAAACCTTTTTAGTTTGTATTTTTATTGTGCTTTCATTGGTCATTTGTAAAGCCTGTTTGTTTCTCATGCTGACTACAAGCAGAGACGAGATTTACTGTTTTTAAGAAACAAAATGTCTTGAATTGTGTAAAAACCCAGAGAGGATTATGAACATTTAGGTCTTTGTTTGTTTTTTGTTTTTTAACTGGTTTGTCCACCAGATCTTCACTTTTATAAGAAAAATAAAAAATGTTCACTGTTTTTTCTTGCTGAGTGTTTTGTTGCTCTGCTTCATTTTTTGAACAGTTATACAAGAATGTAAAACATCAAGTTCCTCATGTGTTAAATATCTGTTTAGATCTTTACAAACAGTGCTGCTCTTCATCACATCTGTATTACTGGATTTGACATCACCTATTAGCGCTTTAGCTAGTGATGCGCCTCCATAGGCACCATTACTATTCATTGAGCCGTCAACAAAACGATACAGTTCCAWTGCAGGGTGTGCATCAATCTGTCACAAAAACATTCATAGCACTCTTATTTCTTACATGATTTCTATACAATATGGCTTAAATTAAAGCTGAAAAAATGTGAYATGTAACACGAGACAAATCTATAAGCAGTCTGGGGACTTTTCATTATAGGTTTTTGCTAATACATGGTATGTCACAGTTCAAATTTCAGTCAAAATCTGAAACGATTGCACTTAAAYTGATGATGAATGGAATTACAAGCTCCACTTCAAAAAAAAATTAGGTGTGCAACGATACAATTATGACTATCTGTTCTGAGAAATGTCCATGCCCTTCTTAACTTGTAATTTATTGAAATTAATTATGAACATTTGTTTAACATCAAACGTACAGYTTTTTAATTAAATGTTGCTGAAACAGCAAGTTTTTCAGTGGATCTGTGCTTGATAATGCAGCCTAGATGGAGTAGTTGAACACAGATCCACTGATCCTTCAACACAGCATCTAAAATAAAGATAAAAAATTTTTGTTCGATAGAGATACAAGTATTGTTGCACYCCTAATATATGATAGTTACCCTCAAAGAAACTTAGTTTAACCCCTTAAGCTTCATGCTGTCTGACAGGCACAAGCTCATCAGCAGGGACTTTTTAAGTCTCATATATAGTTGTATATAATATATCTAAAGATCTGATGTGAGGGGGTGGAAGAGCTTCAAACACCCCTTGTTGAGTCTGATAAACATGTTTCTCTCTCAGACTCTTTGAAGCCAAGTTTGGCTCTGGGTTTTGAACTGAACCCTCTGATCATCAATGCACAAACAGCCATGGGTCTAACCCACTAGACTACCTGCCAGGTAATGTTTTAACTCTAAACAGCATTTTTCTTTTTTTATTTCTTAGACAGATATTAACAGAAGTTAAAAGAAAATGCTGTTCAAGAACGCKCAAGAGGTTAAACAGTTTTGAAAGTTTTTGTCACATAGTCTTAATTGGCCAAACTTGGGGCAGTTAAATCTTCTTGTGACAGAGCTGGGAGTTAGCCTGGTGGTGAAGTCACATAACTTTGGTGCAGGAAGATCAGTGTTCGAATCCCAGCTCTAACTTTGGTAACATAATGTGAAAAACTTAGTTTGTCCAGTTTTGAAACGTTTCTTGACGTTTGGCTTAACTGGACACATTTGGTGAAGTTAAATCTTCATGTAAGAGAGCTGGGAGTTAGCCTGGTGGTGAAGTCACTTGACTTTGGTGCAGGAAGGTCAGTGTTCAAATCCCAGCTCCAACTTTGGTAACACAATGTGAAAAACTTAGTTTGCACAGTTTTGAAAGATTTCTTCACTTTCACCCTGGTAACTGATAAACATAGGGAAGTTAAAACATTACATGAGTACTGGCAGGTAGCCCAGTGGGTTAGTCCCATGGCTGTTGGTACGCTGATAATCTGGGATGCTTGAGTTCAAATCCCAGCTTGGGAGAGAGAAACATGTTCATCATACATGAAGATTGAGGTCCTATATACATAAGTACTTGTACTGAGATTGTCTTATTAACTCTTAAATTTCAAAGCCATATTGTAATGCAAAAAGTAGATCCAAGATACCAGCTTATTAAAATAAAAAACCTTCAAGCTGGCTGTGGGATTTGAACTCAAGCATCCCAGATTATCAGCGTACCAACAGCCATGGGAC